ATTCCTCTTCGTGCCCGAGACTCGCATGCGAAGTTACGAGGAGCTGGACGAGCTTTTTATGAACAAAGTGCCCACGCGTCAATTCCGCACGTATGTTACTCTTGCTGAGCGTCGCGCTGAGGAGGCATATGCGATTGAACATGGTTTGAAGGATACGGTCAAGGATGTCTGATGTTCAATGTCAATAGTGCGTCACCAATTACCTAGAACCTCCTTGCTCCTAGTTCACTTCCATAGCTTGTTATCATTGAATCTCAATAAATGAATGCAATAAAGCTCAGCTAAATAAATATCTTATTCTACCCTTTCTAGTGTTTTTTTTTGTTTTATAATAGATCTGGTTAAACAGCGATTCTAAGAATAAAAAGTTTATCTACAGGGTAAGCAGGTCCCTGGCTTCCTCATCTCATGATGCACTAAACACTGATGGTCATTCCATGGCCAATTGCTCAGACCTCAGCCTGGAATAGCATCTGAGCCAGTAACTTGTATCGGCCTAGCTGTGATGTTTCTCATTGTCCAAACATGTCCTTTTTCTTCCTTGCTGACGCTCTAGATGCTGCATTTGCTGCCCAGCAGGTGTGTGGAGTCGGACTGGGGTTGGCAAAACAAGGTTCTCAAGTTAGAAATGAGGGGGCATATTTAGCTCCGGCTTTGGCATTATTTGATTGGACGCATTTCCCGGGTTTGACTTGCTTCGATTGGCTTTCATCTTTAGAGGTGTCTTCCCCCACTTCGGCTGTTTACCCGGCATCTTCTTACTAACGTGACACCCTGATCCGTTCACCCCAGTGACAACACCATCGCGTCGCGTCACGATAGCTACGCGATGTAAACTTTCAACCATTGCCTGACGGTTTTCATGATGCACAACCAGAATTTATACTGCGCTTTGGAACCATCTCCTCACGTCTTAATTATTCGGATTATCTAATACCCATCAGGTCTCGGTGTCATAGTTCTGGATATCCATAATCATGGCCTGAGTGATTCGACCTCGTTCAAGATGGTCATGTCCGGTTGTTCCTTCAACACTGGCACCAGACCAATTGTCATCCACCTTATCTTCAAGAGCAAGCGCATGAGCAATAAGAAACTTGACCATCCATCTGTCGAACCGGTAAGACTCTGCATTCATTGACTGAATGCAATTCTTCTGAAAGACAACCAGCCGTTTGATCTGCTTGCTGGTGAGAAATGACCGAGGAGTAATAGCGATGTACTTACCATCATCTCCACGCTGGGCCAGTAGTTTCTTAGTTGTACCAACGATTCGAGGTTTGAACTCAGGCGGTCTCTTGACTCTTCAAGCTCATGAGACTCTCCGAATAGATATGTGTGTAACAACACTGATGAGGACACGATTGTCACATGTCCCACGATGTTGTATAGAGCTTCGGCCCCAGGGACCTCCCGTGAGGCCTTGAGAACGTCGCATACAATGGCAGCATGGGCTTTGCAGGAGCTAGCGTATTTGCGGCCGTTTCTCGTCGGTGGTCGGCGATGATCGAGGTATTGGTAAAATAAAAGCGTATAGTAGTGGTGATAGCCCAGATGAAAGGCTATGAAGACGCGTCCTAAGCCACGATTGACGAAAGAAGCCAGATTTTCCCTTGAGAACATCAATCCAGGACCCAACCCCTCCTCGAAAGCCCTCAGCTCAGCTTCAAGTCGTTGCACTGACTCATCTATGAAGGATTCGTTCCACTCGACCCCGTTCGCGAGTTCTTGCTGGAGGTTCTGTATCTCCGCGTATAACCCAACCAGTCTGACCATATGAGCCCACAATCCAGGCTTCCAGTCCGACTCTGCGACGTCTCCATCTCCTGATCTCATGTTGTAGAACATGTATTCGTCGAGTGGCCCTCGAGGCTGTTTGGTTCGCCATCTGAACTGTGGTGATAGGTTAGAGCCTCCACTGGCCCAAGTGTCGATAATGAAGCACGTCCAGAATATGCGTCTCTTGACTTCTCGCATCACGCCGTCATCAATTTCATCAATCTCTCCCAGCTTCAGAATTTGAGTCATTCGACTTGCAAGTCCTGATTGACAATTAGATATCGTTGCAGCGGAAATGAAGGGCCAAGGACGAACCAAAATACAGAGACTCGGCATCTGCGTCACCTTCTCCGAAGAAATTGTTTCCGACAAGAATGCAAGCTTGGATGTTCTCGATGCAGATATGTTCTAGGTCGTCCTTCAGTGCTGCGGTAGCTTGAGCGCGATACATCGGCCCACGAGCCACAATGTCAGGGTCTGTGGCGAATCTGGTCTCAGATCAGAACTGTTGAGCGTGTGCATATGAAACAAGTCCTGAGAAGTATAACATACCTTGCAGATAAACCCATCATAGCAAGAAGGACAGGTTGTGTGACTGTACCTTCTGTAACGCTGACTTTGAATGTGGGCTCGTGGAAGAGGCTGTGAGGGGAATCATGGATGAAGCGAAAGTAGAGATCCACCAAGTACATCTTCTCATCTTGTGTACAGGCTGACTGACTAAGCCGTGGGGGATACTGTACTTCTGATGACCTTGGAAGTTGGGGGCTGATGATAGTTGTTGTACACTGCAAGTTTCGCTGAAGACACTGGGAGCATGTTGCTGAGCTGTCTGCCCGATCGCATTTGCGTTTAGAACTTCTACAGTTCAAGCACGCTGTTGAGGGTCTCATTGCCACGATCTATCAGGTGTTAGATTGCATAGTGACGAAGAGTAGGGACGGTATCTAAAACGTCATGACCGACTAAGAGGTAATGATAGAGTTAGAATTAGTGGCCCAATGCTCTGTTGTTCAGCGTGAGATTGCTCCACTAGACCTAACATGGCAGACTTCCCTACTTTAGCCGAGGCTAAGTTCAGTATCCATATTATGAGAGCCGTTATAAATTCTATCTTTTCCTCTTACTCCAAGAACAACATTAACCTAGAGATAGGCTGCTGTGAATGATTCCTGCTCCTCTACACAATTCCAAATATCATTCAGTACACCAGCCTGTCGCTGAACAAACTCGCCATATCCCCTCTTGCCTACTATCTCTCCATTATCCCATACAACTATACCGCGTAAGATTGTATATCGTGGCCAGTTCTTCACTGTCCTGCCTTCGTATGGTGTGTAGTCATTGGCGTGGTGTAATGCTTCGTTTCGAATCGTCACATCGGGTAACTTGTCATTGGGATACCAGATCACGAGATCCGCATCCGACACACCAGGCATCATTGCACCCTTCTTGGGGTATAGCCCATATAACTTTGCTGCATTTGTTGATGTCACCTCCACGAATTTCGTTAAGGGCAGCTTGTCGGCAGAAAACACAAGAGGGAGTCTCGTTTCTACCCCAGGAATTCCATTTGGGATGTGCCTGAACTTTCCGACTGGATGGTCATGTGTAATGCAAGCCTTCTTGCCCTTTTCTGTATCATCATAAGAGAACGGACAATGATCTGAGCTCAGAACAGTAAATGTTCCATTTCGTAGGCCTTCCCAAATAACCTCCTGTGATGCTTCATCGCGTGGGGGTGGCGAGCACACGAACTTAGCACCCTCGAAGCCTGGCGCATCTAGATCGTTGCGCGTCAGAAATAGATACTGCGGGCAAGTCTCTGCAAAGATGGGCTGGCCAGCTGTCTGGGCTTGCCGAATGCGATATGTTGCATCCGGGTCACTAATATGCACCAACAAGATAGGCGTATTAGCAATGATAGAGGATAACACGATGGCACGGTTGGTTGCTTCCGCTTCGAGCGCAGGTGGACGCGATGTTGCATGATATTTTGGCGCAAAGAGTTTGCTAGCTTCAAGTTGATCCGTCAGCCAGTTTAGAATATCACCATTCTCTGCATGGATCATGGTGAGAATATGGTTGTTACGAGCATGGTGAAGAACTGATAGGATCTGATCGTCGCGGAGTTGGAGCGCCTCATAGGTCATATAGATCTTGAGGGATGTGACGCCCTCAGCTTTGAGCATCCCAAGCTCGGAGAGAGCCGTTTCGGTGGGGTTGGAGACAAGGAGATGGAACCCGTAGTCGCAGTAGGTGTTCCCTCGAGCCTTGTCATGGGCGTCAGCCAAAGGCTTCAGAAGTGAGGGCTCGTGTCTCTGTTGAGGAGCGAAGCAGACAATGGTAGTACAGCCTCCAGCGATTGCCGAGCGGGTTCCTGGGTTTGTGTTAAAAATGCGGTCTCTTCATGAATACGGTCTCTAGTGTGTTGTACAACTCACCCGTTTCAAATGTATCAGATGAGGAACCCTTCCCAAACATGGCAGGTTCTTGAAGATGAACATGGCAATCAACACCACCAGGCTATCCATTGTCTGTGAGCGTAAACTCTATCCAGAAGTAGAGATGAGACCTACTGTCACGTATGCGCCCTCAGCATCGATTATTCGCAATGCATCCGTCTCAGCAAGTGATCCCGATGGAGCAAGCAAGGCGATTTTGCCATCCTTAATAGCAACATCATAAGCACCTATATCAGAGGCTGTAACACATACACCGTTGGTAATAACGAGATCGAATGCCTCCATGATGATTTTCATATAAATTTGCAGTCGTAAGTTAAGTGTTTTACGCGGAGCAACAGTAATGATAAGGTGGTAGTTTGGGCTGGCAGGTTTAAGCACTGGGACAGCTGCTGTAATCAACACTTTTATTTCCCGCCTATGACAAAGAAGCTAACTGCCTCAACTTTTCATAACCCCGCATCAGCGGCGCAGTTGAGAGAATTCGGATGGTTCCGAGGGTCGAATGCGAAAGATATCTCTTATCGGAGGGTTGAGCTGCGTATGGATTGCTACTGTCCTGAGTCTAGTTTACTTCTTATCAGCGGGGCTGGTAAATATTCCCTTGGGTCTGATGCAGCATCGCTATCTACATGGAGAAACTGCTTAATCCTGACTTGGCATGATATGGCAGTTCATTTTTATTATGACAAATTATCGCAAACTTGAGTAAACAATCTGGCCTTGTAACAGGTAACAGCTCCGAATTGCCCATCTCTACAGAACGGCACCAGTAAACCACTCTAGTCCCTCACTCGAGAGAAGTTTCTCAATATCGTGATCCAAGTCCAAGTCTATGCTTTGACGGAAATGAGGGACAAAATTTATAGCATCAGTACATCGATCCCCATCGAGGAGTAAGTACGTCGGTTGCGTCAACTCCAACGAGGACTGCGCAGGTATTTCATCAGAGACGCGTCTCCGAGTCTCACAAGGCTCTACAGGCTCTCTCCTAGCGTGGTACTCATTCCTCTCCACATAGTTTGATGTGATGTTGAAATCACCGTCAAGCACATGTGGCATGCGGGATTGTCTCTGTCTCTGTCTGTTAATCGCTGTCGCGCCATGTGTCTCTCGGCTTGACAAGCCTTCACCACTGTGATTTCCAAGGTGCTGCCCTTTCACTGCGTCTAGCATCTTCTCTGAGATTGTCTCGAAAACGTCACGGTATTTCTTTGCGCTTGACCACTGTTCTGTGATGACATATAAGACAGTGGAACAGGCCCCGACGTCGCCGATGCGCTCCACGGAATAGATAGAGGGACACGTGCGGATACAGTAAATTAACGTGAAGCCAGCAAGGAAAACGGCGTGCAGATCTCTTAGTGAGAACGGAATCGGTGACAGACGATGGAGGCGCCTGTAGAGCCGGCATATTTGTCCAGATGACTCGGCGCATGCCGCGTAGTCGGTTGTCTCAAATGGGTAATTGTGACAATTTTCGGTCATTAATGGTTGAAGTAATGACCTTCGTGCTTTGTGGTATTCTAATAACAGCTCAGTCTTTTCCATCTCGGCAGACCTTTTGAGAAATCCTTGGTCTTGGGAGGTTTCCGAAGACGACGACTCTTCGCTGTCAGCATTATCCTGTTCTCGTAAGAGGTCTGTAAGCCTTCTAGAACCATCAGGCCCCTTGGAAGCGTCTTCCATGAACGTCTCTAGAACTTGCTTTTTCCATTGGTCCAGTTGTTGAAGCAATTTGGATGTTGTCGTTCGCAGGCCCTCCTTTGCAGGAGTTTTCTTCATTCGTGACAGGGCCAGGCGAATCTCGCTGTGGATTTGGTATAGCTGTATATGCTGCCGGTGAAAACTGAGGGTAGTTTTACACTGTGACCCATGGTCCAGACTATGTTGTGGCATTTCATCTGGAGTGGTGGCATGATCACTATGGTCCATAGCCGCCGGCAAAGAAAGGTCAATTTCTTCGTCTGAGAGAGCAAATGGCCGACCTAGAACTAAAGCTGTTTTCCTCTCAAAAATATAGGCACTCCAAAACAGTCTCTTCCGATAGTGGTCCACTTCCATATTTTGGCGATCTACGTGGCGTTGTTTATGGAGTCCAAGTTCGAGACATTGACGAATAGCTAGGGCCGCAAGATGCCATACACTCGTACCTTTGGTTGGCATGACCTCGTCAGCAAGCGTACACATGAGTAGAGTAATATTAACAACGATTTGCTTACCGTAAGGAGAGCGCATTGAATGAATGGCAAGAAGTAACGTCACCTCGATGGACTTGGTGCTCGTAAACTTGAGGTCTTGACGAATATGCTCCATTGCTCGAAGAAAATGTCCCTCGGGAACTGTACTCGAAATGCTAAACCTTTGAAGCAGCTGAAGGCACCTGGAACCAATGGCGTATACTAAATGCATTATTGTCAAGTCAATATGCTCTGTACTAAGAGATTCTTGCCCATCTCGTCGTTTGGTGATAGAGCGATGCAAATGCCACAGCCTTTCCAAGTTCAAGAACGGATACAAGGGATGCACGAGTGCCAGATAAGCCCGTATATAGCTCGCTCCTGCATTGTATTTGGGAGGTTCGGCTAATGTGATGTTGGCTTTTGGCACTTGGTGCGAGAAGGGTCTGTCGGCGAGCTGAGGTAGAGACACGTCGACAGGGTTTTCCCCAGAATCAATGGCAACCTGAACAAAATGTGCAAGGCTTAGACCAGCTGAGAAGCCAAAGTAATGCGGTTCAGCCCCTGCGCACGAGGATAGGACCCCCAGACCCAGCGCAAGTTGACCAGAACGCTCTGTTCCAGAGGTCACCTCTGTAGTTTCTGGTGAACGACCTGGCGCAGGGCTCTCGGGCGGAGCAGTTGTTGGCAAATTTTCTACTGGTCCTTCGCGAAGATTCTCAGTGCTGGCGACCTGGATTGGAGAAGACTCGTCCATCACGAGATTTGCCTCCAGTTGGCGAACTCGCTCTTCCAGCCTCTTGACATAGGACGAGGGGTAGGCTTGGTTGCTGTATATGCACGGCACCTTTGCCTTGTCACAATTCGAGCAGGCTGGGCTCGTATTGTCGCACTAGTTTTGTCTCAGTTAGCAATGCAGATCAATCGCGACCGTGAAGTTGATGTTTATCTTGCCTTTTGTCGTCGGCTCTTGCATCTCTGACATGCAACCAAGACCCGAGGTCGTTTTGCAGGGCGGTTGTATTCGGCCATACTCTCTTCTTCCATAATGTAATCGGATCAGAGCGATAGCTTTTACAGGTTGTCCAGATACGGATGTGATCCGAGTTATGCATTGATGTTCATGCCCGCTCGTTGTTATCGGCATCGGAGTGACCCGATACTCGGGCTAGCCAAATACAGGCTGGCTCATACATGCACAAATCTTATCACAGTTATCAGTGACGTCCGTGCTTGGTACTAACGTTATCTGTTATCTCTGATTGCGGACCATTCCGAATCATGGCGCCCAATTGTAATCACATTTTCTCTACAAATTAATCGTAGCCAATTCGTGTCTGGTGAAGTGCTGTCTTGCGATATGTTTCCGTCGGTGGAAGTGCGTTGTTCATAATATCACCATCAGTCGCCTTGGCTCTATACTAAATCTTGCACATCAATCATGGACTCAACATCATCTCCACGCAGAGTTCGCTTAGGAGTTATCGTACCGTCATCGAATACAGCACTGGAACCGTTAACGCAGCAAATGATTCTCAGTCTTGCACAGGAAGGGATAGAAGCTAGCCTCCATTTTGCGAGATTCCGCGTTACGAAAATCGAACTCTCTGACGATTCAAATTCTCAATTTACCCTGGAGTCAATGCTAGAAGCAGCGGGGCTATTAGCCGATGCAAAAGTCGACATTATTGGCTGGAGCGGCACATCCGCATCCTGGCTGGGGTTTTCTTCCGATGACACTTTATGTCAAATGATCAAGAACACCACCGGCATTCCAGCAACATCATCGGTCTTGGCAATGAGGGATATCCTACTTCACGGCGTGGCTCCAGAGATCGGCCTCGTGACACCATATATAACAGAGGTTAACGCTGCAATTTGCGACAACTTTGCAAAAGAAGGGCTGTCGATAGCAGGAACAAGATCTCAATGCTCCGGCTTGACGACAAACTTTGATTTCGCGGCTGTTCAAGAGCAAGAGCTGGATGAAATGGTTTCAAAGGTTGTCACAAACGGGGCCCGGGTCATTCTCATCATGTGTACCAACCTCTCGGCTGCACAAAGAGTGATATTCTGGGAAAGGAAATATTCTGTTACGGTTCTAGACTCAGTTGCAACTGTATTGCACGGTATGCTTCGACAACTTGGTATAGAAACATCAAGCCTTGCTAGTGAGTGGGGTTCGTTATTCAATATCGGAACAGAACCGGTCCACGACACATAGATAGTTGTAGTAGGAAACAAGCTAGCGGTAGATACTGGTACTTATTAGCATATGCTTGAGTCGGTGGCAATGTATTTTCCGGTTTCTCTTTTCCATGATGATGTTGCAAGTCTAAGTAATGCTCTCAACCACATTGATTGTCGAATCTCTCATATAGAGGCACGTAGCACATCCCATTCCTTGTCCATTCGGCGTTGATAAGTCAGAGCGCATGTACTCCTTTTCAAGAATTGACCATAACCCTTGGTGCCCGTTACAATGCCATCCTGAAAAACCACCCTGCCCCGCACGATAACAATTCGAGGCCAGTTCAAAAACTCAATGCCTTCATATGGCGAGTAGTCACAGCCATCGTGCAGGTGTAGATTGTGCTCCAACTTTCTAGGCGAGAACGTATCCTGTGTGTGCCATATGACAATATCGGCGTCTGATCCTATTTGTATAGCACCTTTGCGTGGATAGAGGCCATACAACTTCGCTGGGTTCTCAGACGTGAGTTCGACAAATCTCTTTACATCAATGCACTGACGCTTGAGGACCCCTTCGGAGAAGAGCAAGGGTATCCGGGTCTCGACTCCAGGAAGACCATTCGGTATTTTTGTGAATCTAGATGGTGGTCAGAACCAGCCAGATAGATGTTGATCACTCAAGACTTACACTCCTTGAACCTCGTCATTGTTGCTATATGAAAGACCCAACTTCTTTCCCCTGGTATCATCGAACCTGAGTTGATATGAGTTGATTCTTCTTACAAAGGGCGACTGATAGCATGTGATTTCTTACCGATATGGGCAGTGGTCTGATGAGAATATGGTGAATGTGCCGTTGATGATTCCTCTCCATATTTCCTCAATATCCTTTGGGTCGCTGCGCAAAGGGGGCGAGCAAACGAACTTCGCACCACAGAAATGATCCCTGTCGAGGTTCTCTTTCCCTAATAATAGGTACTGAGGACATGTCTCGGCGAATACCGGCCTCAATAATGATTGGGCCTTGCGAATAACATCCATCGATTGTCGAACAGAGACATGAACGATGAGCATCGGCGTATCCATGACCGAGGAGAAAGTAATAGCGCGATTGACGGCTTCGGCCTCAGCCTCTGGAGGATGCGCTATCGCCTTGAACCTCGGGTCTGTGAGTCCTTGGGCCTCTAATTGCTCAGTGAAGAAATCGACAAGATCCCCATTCTCAGCGTGCACTAGTGCCACCATTCCTAGTTCCCGTGCCTTTTGCAGCGCTGAGAGCACCTGGCGATCCGAAATCCTCATGTGCTTGTATGTGAGGAATAGCTTCATGCTCATTATACCAGACTGGGCAAGCTCTGGAAGTTCTTGTTCTAGCACTTGTGCAGTGGGATCGGTGATGATGGCATGGAAACCGTAGTCCGCATATGAGCCTTGGTCATTGACAAGTTCATGGTATTTGTCAACTTGCTCTTTCAGAGACTGGCCCCGAGATTGCTCTGCAAATAAGATGACTGTCGTCGTGCCTCCGGCAATTGCACTCCGAGTCCCTGTGTCAACTGCATGCTGGAGTCAGTGAAAACTACCATGTATGAGGAGGAAGAGCGCATGCGTACCTGTATCGGCACTAGTATAGCCTGCTTCTTGAGCTCTGGGCGAGCGATCTTGAGACAGGTGGACATGGCCATCAACCCCGCCTGGAGTTACAATGGCCCCGTTGCAGTCAATTATTTGCGTGTCTTCTGTTGCAACGAGGCCAACGCCCAGGCCAACAATGACGCCTCGTTTGATGCCTATATCGCAAACAAAGGAACCATTGACATGGGCATTGCGCAGGATGGTATCAAACTCTTGCATAGTTCTGTGCACTTCTGGTGAATTAAACTGTGGATGTTTGCGAAACGATATCGTAACGATAGGAATGAATATTCGTAAGGCGGAAAGGAGATTAAGCCCAACTGGATGATCCGTGAGCATAGATGAGAGTAGTCACAAAATGTTTTATTTACCTTTGCTTTTATGACTGGCTGAAGATAACTGCTTCGGAATGGTCCGCATTCGAGCTACAGCATCCTTAGCGTCGGGTCAACCCGTCATATCGCTATCTTGAGAGATAATCCGTATCGCCACGTTAGCGCTGGTCTATGATAACGATATGGCCGTTCCGACAGATAGCGAGCTACCCAAATCATCCAACATACCACAACACCAGTGATGCGCAGTATAACCTTACTGATATGCTGCATCGCAAGCCACAAACTCTCGGAGTTGTATAAGTTGCAGCATGTACCTCACTCTGCTGAAAGCAATCTCACAAGCGACAAGTGGCTACCGAAACAATCATCTCTCGCCTGATCCATTATGAAGATGCCAAAAGTTCCCCGTTCGAAGGCCGAGTGGAAGGCAGTGTTGACTACAAACTCTGCGGACGGAACCAAATCCTCGCCTTGGATTAACAAGGATCTCGCGCCTACTCCGCCGAGCGCAAGGACATGGTCCTGGTGCGTGTCATGCTGGACATGAGAGCTTTATTCAATTTGCTAATTTTCGAGTCAGGATCTCACTCAGCAGTTATTGGTGGGGTGTAAGCCAACATTCTTTTATCCACTTTGTTGAGTCACATCGCTGAATTACTGCGCGACCGTCTAGAACGCGTTCAACGCAAGTCAATGGTCAAATGGAGCGAGCCTGATCGCTGTTGGCCTTAACTGGCATCAAGCTCTGATTGCATGCATAATTGTAAGAATTATGATACGGTGGCCGAAGGGCAACAGCTAACCTCGAACCAGGCCAACTTGATCTCATCCTCTGTTGCTCTTGCTCTCGGTCGACCCGGCGCAAGGTATCATGTTGGCTACCCCGTCCTGGCTCGGAGTGTCTTCGGAATGTCAGTCGTCACATCCCCATAGATTTGGGACCTCACATGAAAAACTTACTAACAGAAAGTGTAGGTATGGTCAGTTCTTTTTCGTTTGGATCCGAGCCGTGGTAGCTACTATCTGGTAAGAAAGACCATGGACATTTGGGTCAAGAGAAAGGAGCCTTCGTACTGACAGCTTTACAGGTTTGGAGTACAGTCATACTTTGGGTCCCAGCTACTCAGTGTTCTCCTGAGATGCGTCTTTGGAGAATCCTGGTGGAATATGACGAACCACTTGCCTGCCGGCGCTGGGATCACATCCAGAGATCTTCTGGCCTTCTTCTTGTTCTGGATCATTGAGATGCCCTTTTTGGCAGTTCACCCGCGCAAGATCAAGTTTCTATTCGCGGTTCGTATATCCTCTGAAGCCTCGATTCGCGTGTTGAGCCTAACAAGTCCTAGGCCGAGTCCATAATCTGTCCTCTGGCTTGTATTGGCGTCTTCTCCTGGTGTCTTCATTACGGAGGAGGTATTCGTATGAGTTCTCTTTCTTCAAGCACGGAAGTCAAAGGCGGAGCCCTCGGGTGGGCGATGCTTAATGGAATCAACAGCTGCTTGGGTGTCACGTCTGCGCTGCTGGTCAATGTGAGTCTGAATGGATCCGCAAGCATCTTTGCGAATTTCGAGGGTAGACTAACAAACAACACAGCAACCCGACCTCACTCGGTATACCCGTAGGCCCAAGGATGCTGGTTGGAGACAATCATCGTCCATCTTCCTCAGCAAGACACTGATTTTCTTTTTTGGTATTGGTGCTACAGCAGCAGTGCAAGGGAAATTCGGCCACGCATACTGGAACCAGTGGGATCTTCTCAACGCAATCCTTGATCGGTTTTGGGGTCCAGCAGCTCGCGCTGGGTGCTTCTTTGCCTCATTCGGATTTGCGTTGTCGGTGTTGGGCGTGAACATCGGTTGTAACGCTATCCCCTTTGGTGAGATTGGGTTTCCCTGGGATGACACTTGAGAATTCTAACACATTTTCCAGGAGCGGATGTTACCGGTCTAGTACCGAAAGTGTTTACAATTGTCCGGGGGCAGATTTGCTGCGGCATCTTGTCCCTCGCCATTGTTCCGTGGAAGCTCCTAAGTAAGATTCTCTACATACCTCGAATTCTCATATCAAACGCTGACAAAACCTACCTCTTTTGTAGCTTCTGGATCGGCTTTCTTGATATTTCTCGGCAGTTATAATTGTTTCATCTCACCAATCTGTGCTGTAAGCCTTCTCCGCCTCGAACTCCCAGGGTCTCAAGAAGCTAACACACTCAGATCATCATTATTGATTACTTCTTCGTCAAGCGTGGAAATATCCACACTCCATCGCTCTTCAACCCATCCAAAGGCTCATTATACTTTTACACTGGCGGTTGGAATCTGAAGGCACTTGGATGTTGGGTTTGCTCAGCAGTATTCGGTATTCCAGGACTTATTGGAGCCTATCATCCAACCTGGGTGTCTATGGCTGCGACCCACATATATCAGACAGGTTGGGTTATCTGCTTCTCTGCAGCCGCAGCATTTTACTATGCCCTGAACTTGGCCATCCCAGCCAAAGTGCTTCCACACGGGCAGGCAACTTCCCACCTCGACTTTGAGAATTTGGCAGATAGTGAGGGATACCTGGAGGGTGAAAGTGTTGTGGAATTCCCAATTTCGGGTATACAGCCCGAGGACTCTGTATGCTCCGGCCACGAGAGCAGCACGGCAAAGGAGACCTCGGGCGTAGGCATCTCAGGGGTGTAAGGAGTGTAAGGGCTCCGGCAATTGGTTGTGCAGGGCTTTAGGCACTTCGGGTCCTGCTGATGTTACCTCGCCGATGTTCGGGGTCTTTTGAGATGAATACTTCTACTCTCGTAAATATTATAACGCAATTATGCTATCTACTTGTATGAACATAAAAGTTTATTGAACTGTGCGCCAGGATACGGAACCAGGATAAGTTGCACGGGCGGGAACTGGAAATGAAGTATTGTCGTTGGATCCTCTTCTCATAGAATGAAACGGACGATCTCACGTAAAAGCTTGATATAAGATGTAGTTCAGAAAAGTGAATTGATGTGGAAGGAGAAATAGTCTAAATGTTGAAAGCTATCCCAAAAAATAAATGTCTAACCCCTGTTGTTACAGTTTGTGCAGTAGTCCATGACAACGCTGCACGAGTTTGATAGACGAATGTGGCCACAAATCCAGATACCGTCGTTCTTCTTGGCGTTCTCGCGAGCTGCAATAATGTCACTACCCTTCATTCCAATGCCGTAGTCATCGCACTCAAACTTGGCAATACAGGCAGCTTGGCCAAAAGAGGCAGCCATAAGGATACCCTTGTTAGACCGGCTGTATCGTGTCGTGTAACCCTTGTACAAAGTGTCGGCGTCGAACTCATTGATGGCTCTATCACAAGCCTCACCCAAGCCCTTCTTTGATAGACTGTCGGATGTTCCACACTGGCCGCTGCCATCGTTATCAACAGCAGTTTGAGTGGGCACAGGCGTGGACACAGTTGACGGTACACCATAGCCACGTGTCGCTGTGACGTGGACAGTATAAGCCATAAAGTAGTCGAGGGTGTAGGCTGAGTAGACCAAGACCGTGCCGTCGTTGGTCTCAGTGAAGGGAGTCTGCACTGGAGCTTGGGTAGCTGGAGCCTCGGTGACGGGGACAACTGGGGACGGATATGAAGTGTAGTCCTCGCAGCTGTTGTCGATCAGAGAAGCTGAAGTGACGTATTGCTTGCCAGAGACTGTGGTGCTGCATTGGCAGTATGGCTTGTCGACACGAGGTCCGCCGTAGATTACACAAGGGTAGTATGTGCGGACTTCCTCACTAGTTGTTGCTGCATCAGATGTGACATCAGTTGTGATGGCATCAGATGAGGGCCTGGTAGTAGTGATAAAGGTGGTTGGAGTAGAGGTTGTCAGCACCGGTTCAGCTTGAGTTGTTGTAGCCTCTATAGTCTTGTCCTCGCTGGTGGTTGTTCCCGCAGCCTCGGTGGTCTTCTCTTCCTCAGCGGTTGTTCCAGTAGACTCGGCAGTCTTTTCATCTGTAGTAGGGGCTGCTGAAGTCTCGGCGGCGGAAGTGGCATCGGCTGTATTAGTAGCAGCTTTGTCTGTAGAAGAGGGTCCAGCTGAAGTGGCAGCAGTGGAGCCACCACGTACCAAGCACTTGCTAGCAGCCTCCTCATCGGCACGCTTCCGCAGACCGGCAGCAGGTGTAGCAGCAGGTGTAGTTTCAGGGGCCGCGATAGGATCAGGGAAGACGAGGAACTTGTGTGAAGTGACAAGCTGGTCCTCGACCCAGAGTCTCCATCGTCCCATAAACTGGCCCATGTCGTTCTCATCGGACCCAAAAACAATCTCCTCAAGCATATCATACTCGACGATAGCGCGACCCCACGTTCCATACTGCTCCTTAGATTCTACTTCACCAACTCGTGTGTAGCCGAGAACGGTATAATCAGACCCAGGAACAATACCAGAGACTGCAGTCGCGAGGTAATTGGCACGTGCCTCGTAGCGGAAAGTGGTGGTCACGCCACGACCACGATCATAGTCGGTAGTGAAGGGGGTCACAACGAAAACCCTGGGGTGAAACATGGAATGCAGCACACTGGGAGCTTGGTCTGTACCGACATAACCAGCAATACTTTCGGCATAAGCATCAAGAGTGCCGTCGCGAAGCGCGTTGAAAGTAGTAGCCTGGAATACGTCGTCAGGCGTGGGGTTCCCGAAGTTGTCGATAAAGACAGGGTTCTCCCAGATGTGAGACACATAGACACCCAAGTCAGACACGACAATGACCGAGGTACAGCCATAGATCCCGTTGACTCCTGCAGAACCTTTACCAGCAAAAGGAGGAGCGCCAAACCAGTGTCCAGCTGTGGCTCCAGTCTGATCTACCCATAGGGGGGTGAGGGAGGCAACATAGAAAGGATTGGGAGACATGTCATCGTTGAACGCTCGAGCCCCGAGCTCTGTATCACGCTTGGAGGGCAGGGATGCAGACTCGGCGCGGGCAGTAGGAGCAGTAAAGGGATCGTCACCGAAGTCGATGGTCTGAGAAGGGTTCGTAGGGAGGGGTCCGTCAATGGTAGTCGTTGAGAGGTCATTGCAGTTGACTTCGCCAGCCGCGCTGCCCATCTGTCCTCCTTTCGACCCCCCAGACCCAATAGGACAAGATCCACCACCGCTACCACCACCGCAAGTGTCAGCACCACAAACTTGCAGCATTCCAGTAGTCGTGGTAGTGGCTTCAGTGGTAGTTGACTCCTCTGTTGAAGTAGGGGCTTCGGTGGTTGTAGGCGCCTCTGTAGTAGACTCCTTCTTGGTCGTCTCATCTTGCTTGGTGGACTCTTCCTTGCTTTGCTCATCCTGGCTCTGATTATCCTCATCCTCCTCAGTCAGATCATCGTTCTGGCTCTGTACCTGAGGAACAACACTGGTGACGGCAGGCACGTTACCAGCAATGATGCTACCCGAGATGTTGGTAAGATCCTGGGCCATACACGCGAGCTTGTTGATGATATCACCAATAGGTCCAAGCAGGCCTCGCTTCTTGTTGCAGCCAACATCGGGCTTGCCGCCCAGAGACACGATGACAGCGATGATGTCGTCGTGAGTGTCCTCGACCTCCTTGTTAGTCTTATCGGTGAGAGACTCAGAGTCTTCAGTCCATCAATAAGCTTTTGTACTAACCTAACAGTCCCCTGTGAGGCTGCTAGTCTGAGAGCTTGATCTGGATCTCCTTCAGGGCCACCAATGTTGGGATCTGCACCATGTTCCAGAAACCAATCAAGCAGTGGTTCGTTGTTCGTCTGAATGAGCCTGGGCAGGAGGCGCTCTGGCGAATTGACTGTCCAGCCGTGTTCAGTAAAGAGCTGAAGTAACGCAACTTGTTGATCCGCTGGGGCTCTGAGAATAGTTTCTGGGGTGTTTCGCGAAATCGGTGTTCCAGACTGGAGAAGATAGCGTACAATTTCGACTTTGCCGTGTTTAATAGCATCCAGCAAGCCATGGTGAAGGAAAAGTGGCGAACGGGTTTGTGAGGCGACAATTGACTCGAGAGTAGATAAGTCACCCTCTCGGCAGGCACACAGATATTTGAGAAAGTCCGTCACATTGAATCCTCGTCCAGTGAGAATGTGTATGTCGCTTGGGTCAGTGGCGGGAATGTCACTGTAGGGTTGGCCCATTCCCATCTGCTGGTATCCCATCTTCTGACTCCCGGCTCCCATTTGCTGTGCAGTTTGCTGCCGAATCGTGGCTTGCTGTTGTGCCATCGCTATCGCATGCATTCGTTGCTGCTGTATTCTTTGCTGATCTTGCAGTGAAATCCGACCGGGGATTTGTTCCCCTTGAGATGACATTGTGATTTGTTGACTGTTTGTCTTTGGAAATGTAAGCTGGACTGGAAGCTATCTATAAATAGACAAAATAATTCTGCTGACATAAGGCTTAGTACAGCGATTGAAAATACCACTCTAGGGTACCTCAAGAGTTATATAATATTAGACTACTTCTTTTAATTTTTACCCTCTATATAAGCCAGCTTTAGCTAGACAGATACAGTATGTCTTTGCCGACTTATATTTGTCCAGCTCTGCAAGCTTAATGAAATAAAGCTCTCACTCATATCGAGCATAGATAAAAGACTTGAAAACTCCTGCAAATACTCTTTTGCTCTCTGTGCACGTGGTATAACAGGATCCTCAGTTGGATAAGTTAAGAGGGAAACTGCGACATCACGGACTTTATATACCTGCAGTTTTATCAGAGTTAGCTGAGAAACAAAGTGACCCACTGGAATATCTTTTTATACTGACAAGAGAAAGGCCGTTCGGTTCCAAACCGTAATGAGAAAACGAGTGTAGAAGATGAAGCAGCTGTTGGCAAATACTTTCTCGTTCATCGGAGAATGTAGTGTCTGATTTTGCGGGAGACGGAGAGGATAATAAGGGAAGAGGGTTCATGGATGCTTGTGTGGCAGAAGCAGAAGCAGATACTTCGCTTTCAAGTGCATCGATCTGATCTAGTAACATACTCTGGAGCCACAAATGTGTGATATGTATGTTGACACGAATAGCCTCACGTTGAATGTTGCCCACTTCCTCGCCTTGAGTAGAAGATGTAGTAGAGGCGGAGGTCGGGACAGTTGGAGCAGTGGTCTTTTTGTTCCAGATTCCATATGCAGCTGGTACTGTGTCAAGCATATATTTGAGATGATGTAGTCTCTCCCTGAGTGAAACGAGACGTTGTTGGGGGTCCTTCAAGTGGCTGCATATGCAAGTCTGTTTCCCATTAGACCCCGGCGGCCTTAGCGCAGCCGCGAAGATGCGGGAATGTATGTTGTAACCTGCGGTTAAAGAGGCTGCGGCTATGTCCTCGGGACATGGGAGTATACCGCTGGAGGAGATGTACTCGTCGTCCACGGGAGCAGGCATCAGGTCTTCGAGATTAAGCTCGCATGAAAGCATGGTATCAAGAAACATTAACCGTTCATTCCGCAAATTGTGCATCTGGTGAACATATCCATAAAACATGAGCCAAAAGGCCTTCTTCCGCAGTTGGACCTCAATGGGGTCGAGCCCCGCATAGCTTGAAACGCGGTGCACTTCTAGCAAACGTAGCAGCTGCATGGCTTCCACCTCAAGCATCCGCCACTGGTTGGTATTGCCTGTCTGGTGGAATGCTATACCTAGTAAGAAGCTACTAGCCCATTTCTCATGGCTGATGGTATCGAAGTAACTTGCGTCTCGAAAGCTCTGGTTGAATTTGTAGCAGTGGTTGACCATTTCCGTCCGCGTGCGGAATGGCAAAGGACTGGAGAAGTCCTGGTATGTTTGTAAGCGTGACGGAAGGATGCAGACCGTTAATGCGCACAGTGATATGATCAGGGTCAGGAAGCTTTCATCGCGCAGGTCGCTGTTGCGGTCGAGGTCGATTTTAAAGCTTGGCCGGTGTATCACAGGAATCAATGGATAGACATGGACTAAATAATCGTTGAGAATGAAGTGAATCAAGTCTCGGGGGAGCAATACATCAGTCGGATACGGGGGTGCACAACCTGCAGGCGAAGCGGTGGTGGCGATAGAAGGCTCCGGTGCCAGTTCTTCGAGGACGTAAGAGCCAGGGTTGGAGAATGGCCGTGGCGAGAGCGGACTAGATGCGTTGATAATGTCACTTGCATCAACCTCTGGAGAAGCAGAGGCCGAGTGAGCAGTGCCGATACTGTAACGGTAACCCGTCTTCCTCTTGGGGCCGCGGGCCTTGGACGGCATTTGAAATGTGCATTGAGAATCCGACTTTTCGCAGTTGTCACATCGCGTTGTCGGGTCTGGCACAAGGTCCGTATTTGCCCAGTGTATGCCACCGCCTGTACCAAAGCTGCATTTCCGTTTCCTGAGGCGGCATACATCGCAAGCCTGGCGCGTGACGACCCTCGAGGTTGGGGAAGTTGCAGAGGCTGAGAAGTTCATATCAGGGCAGTAGGTAGATTTCTCCCAGGGGCCAGCAAGGATTTCCATACGTATCTGTGATTGTTCCTCAGAACTGGCGTGACGTTACGTCTTTATCGCCGCGGGGTTGCGGCGTCGCGCTAAACCTGCCCCGGCTTCGGTCCCATTTTCGGCTGCTTTCCCCGCCAAGCCGAAGAGACATGCCGGCCTCACGTGAGCTGTCACCGACCGAAGAAGCTCCTATCATGCGGATGCAAGCTAACGAGTTAGTGCTTGGGTACCTGTTTAGGCTCTACGATCTGAGCTACCGAGCGGATGGGCTGAGGGCTCGACAGGGTAATGATTATAGTTGTAATTATCAGTGTTGAGTCATCGGAAATGACGTCTAATATGCTCTTCTAGTCTATTGTCGTGTCTATTATGCATATGTACAATCTATGCTCTAGGTGAAAGGCCATTACAATACCTCGTCCTTTCTACATTCAAGGATGCCTGCAATGAAGTATCTGCACTGCTCGTGCCAACCAACAATCTATACTCACCGGCCTGACTGCACCACTTATTGCGTGCTTTATCCCAATAGCTCGTCGAGAGCACGGTATCCAAATAGATTGTGACCTGCTTACTCTCCCCCGCCTCCAGGTGAGCTTTACGGAACGCCTTGAGTTCTTTGACAGGACGTTGAACCGAAGTATTTGCCGGTGGCGCAACATAGACTTGGACAACTTCGGAGCCGGAGCGGAATCCGGTGTTTGACAATTGTACTGTTACGGTGGATGTGGCCCCGACTTGCACGCTGAGATCCTTCAGCGCAAAGGTCGTGTATGATAGCCCATGTCCAAAGGGAAACAGAGGCTTGGAATCTATCTTCTCGTAGCAGCGGTATCCAACGTATATGTCCTCGCCGTAGAGGACACGGCCCGCTTCGGAGCGGTGGTTGAAAAATGTAGGGTTGTCTTGGAGTCTAGCCGGGATCGTAAGCGGGAGCTTGCCGGCCTGGTGATACACGTTAGCTACGACTTTTCTCATCTGTGGAGGACCATCTTACAGGGTTAACGTCACCAAATATGATATCTGAAATAGCATTTCCAGTCTCGTTGCCACCATACCAAGCATGGCAAACTGCACTGGCATCGTCAATCCAGGGCATACCAACTGGTGTACCTGATTGAACCACCACAGCCGTGTTGGGGTTTGCTGCAAGAACCTTGGTGATGAGAGTGTTCGAGGAGTAGCTCATGTCCATGTGTGTGCGGTCAGTACCCTCAGATTCTAGTTCGTCGTTCAATCCGACAACCAAGACAACCTGGTCAACTGTCTTGGCAACTGCAACAGCATCTTCAATGGCCTGGACAGGATCAGTCCGCTTGAAGCAGCCGACTCTCCAACCACCGTGCTTGCCGCCTATAGGGCCAAAAGGCGGTAGTTGGCTGGTTTTGGCACATCCCCATTCCAGACGGATGCGGTACTCTTGACTAGCAGTGAATACCTTTTCGCCCTTCTTTTCAATAGTCCCAGACCCGAAGAAGGTTTCTCCCCGCTTCTGGTTCTTGAAATTGCTTACGACAAGTTCATCGTCAATGTAGAGTTTACCTGTGCCTTCAACACCGAGGCCAAAGTCGTACAGACCACTCTCATCAGGCGTGAAGATGCCTTCTGCCTGAGCGTACCAGACTGCGGCGAGTTCTGGATTGTCATAGTCCATGAGAAAACAGTTGGAGTCAGTTTGAACACGCTCCTCGATTGGTCTTCGGCCTACGCTTGTTGCTGGTTCATTAAAGGCTCTCCATATGAAGCCCCGCTGGCCCTGGGGCGTCTTGAGGTAATCCCCAATTATAGGCAGCATCTTATGGTCTGTTGCACCCTGAGAAAAGACCGTCTTTTGCTGGCACTTAGCGGCGATGCCCTCGTATGGCGAAACACTGTAGTAAGGGAGGAGTGAAGCGCTGCCTCCGCCGCAGAAACGGGCTATCTTAGCGTTGGGCCCAATGACGGCCGTTGTCTTTGACTTGTTGAATGGCAGTATACTGTTGTCATTCTTGAAAAGGACGATGGATTGCGATGATACGCGTCGGAGAAGAGCCTGATCCTCTGGGCGGTTCAGCTGCTTCTCAGGTACGTTCTCGGGTACTCCAGCGGCCATGGAGTAGTTGACGAGGTTGAGAACATTGCGTACGCGATCGTCGAGCTGCGCCTCAGTGACCTTGTTGGCCATTACAGCATGAGAAAGTGCTCTGCCTCTCCAGCGGCTTGGACCGGGCATCTCCAGGTCGAGGCCAGCATCGATAGCTCCTGTTGTGCTATAGGTACCGAACCTGTAAGGTAACACCGGATATTAGCCAGGCAATCGTGAGTCACAAGGACGGAGCTCAACATACCAATCACTCATGACGAGTCCGTCAAATTTCCATTCATCTCTAAGAATGGTTTGCAGCAGCTCTTTGTTCTCAGAGACATGCGTGCCGTTGACCTGGTTCCAGGCCGCCATGACAGCCTGGGGATCTTCAATGGCAAGGGCAAGCTGGAATGGTAGCAGGTATATCTCGCGCAGGGCACGTTGCGTCACCATGACATTAACAGCCATACGCTCGTCCTCCATATCATTGCAGACAAAGTGTTTGAGCGTGGCTGCAATATTCTCTTGCTGCAGGCCTCGGCAGTAGTGCCCAGCCAGGTAGCCAGACAGCACAGGGTCTTCTGAGAAGGACTCGAAGCCGCGGCCACCAAGGGGACTTCTCTGGATATTCATGGTTGGGCCAAGTACAACGACGGCCCCTTTCGCCTTTGCCTCTTGTCCCTGCATTGGCCCACCTTGGCCAGCAGGTCTGTATCAAAGGTCGCACCCAAGGCTGTACCGCAAGGGAGACATGATGAAGGGACACTATCGAAGATTCTTGTACCGCGTATACCGTTGGGTCCGTCCAAGAGGCGTATCGACGGGATGCCGTGCTGGGGCAGTGGTGTTGTGTGCCAGAAGTCCTTGCCTGCCAGAGCCGGAAGTTATTATCGATGGTTGATCTTGGATATGGAGTAGCTAGAGCTTACCTGCCAGTAAAGAAACCTTCTCGTCTATTGTGAGCTTGGACAACAGCTCATCGACATCCAACGCGCCTGAACGCTCATCACTAATGAAAGGAGACATGATGAGTGCAGTCAATTACCTAACCTACCTTGGGCCTAACGGAGCTCAGATTGCACAGGTTGATAAAGGTGCAAGATTGGGGATAGGATATTAGCATTGTTATCTCTACTGCACGTCTAGTTTACTTTAAAGAATATTGATGAAACCGAATTCTGTTGCCGATGGCTCCAATTCAACTGTCAATGGATCTAGAACCGATATCAAAACTGGACCCTGCGTCAAACCTACTCCGTTTCTGGCAATCCTCCGCCTCCGCAGGTTTCTCCGCCCGTTTCTCCATTGATTTTCCCGCCCAAGAAGGACACTAATTATGCACGTTACACCAGTAAATTACTCCACGAGATCCGCCGGGATAATTAAATTTGGTTCATGGCCACCAACGAGAACTCAACCCCAGACATTCCCAGCACAAAACGAACCTGTCTCAAGGACTAGGCTTCCCCGACCATCCCCCCCCCCC